GGAGGAGCTGAAGAAGATAAAAAAAAATGATTTTTTGAAGTGCTTCGAAGATTGGAAAAACCGTTGGCACAAGTGTATAATATCTCATGGGGATTTCTTTGAAAGGGACAAAATAGGTATTCATGAATAAATAAATAACTTTTGAAAAAACACAAAATTAGCGAAAAAGTCATCCAATTTTTTTAATTAAAACTATAATTTTTTATTTTCATGATGTTTTAATTCGTGCAATTTTTCATTATAACTAATTCTGGAAGACAACAAATAAGTACGTACAAAGTCATATGCAGAATATTTAGCACTTGGATTAGAAGACTTACCATAAGATAATTATTAACCTGTTTTAAGTAGTAGTTAGGCACTTACTCTATGCAAACAATAAGCATTTATTTAATATTTTTTCTATATGCACATATTACTAGTTGTTTCACAAATAATGTTGAAATGAGTAATTGTTTATTCAGCGAAAATTGCATTATAAAAATTTAAGCGTATTACAAAATCAACTTTTCCAATTATAAAGAAATATAAAAGTATATTTACTTAACTTATGTGCTTGTAACAGATAAGTTTGTTGACAGTGTCGCATCTTGGTCTGGTATAATAGAAACTGCCTCTTTCACATAGTCGTATATGTGTTTGCGAGTGTCGATAACCACATCTCGAACCATTGCTTTAAAAAAAGCACTATGCCGTGGTGTTTCGGCATATCGCTCGTACTGGTCAAGCGAATCTTGAAGTTTAAGAGTGAGATCATAATTCTTACGAACCACATCTAAAATTTGGTCTTCTGTTGGCGTAGAGAGGCCTTGTTCCGCCAACCACTCCTTTATTTTATTTTGGAAATGTTTTACTATAGCCAAAATATTTACCAGCGCATTCAATAGTTTTATAACATCATCTTTATATTCACAATCTGCCATTGTGGTATAACGTAAAACTTTAGCGTAAATAAAAATACAAAATATATCAAATTGTTATTAGTAACAAGCAAATAATAATCAAAAGTTCAAATAAATTTTCAATAAACCTCTAAATGTGTGAGGATATGTACCATGTATATAATTGTGTGTATAAATATACATACATATATAATTCATCAGCCTGATAAGCTAGTCGTTTGTCGAAACCGCCGATATCAGCCTATAATAACATATAACTGCCATTCAAAATCAAGATAAAAGTCTTCATAAAAGTTTTTTCTCCTCATTAAGTAATATCAAATCGACCTGAAGTTTTTTCTCCTCATTAAGTAATATCAAATCGACCTGAAGGTTGTTGTACATATATCAAGCAACATGTCTAGAAAGTACTAGAAGAAGAAATACGTTTTATATTGGTAAGGCTCAGATAAGTTGTCATTAAGGTCATCCAACCGTAGAATTAGGAAGCGTGTTATTTCGACGGGCTCGGACCATAGGGAGAGAGGTGTCAGATGTAAAGGATTAGCTAGATAAGACAAGAGGTRGTTAGAGTTAAGTAGGGGATCGTTGCATGCTGGGCATATATTTGGTATGTCGATGTCGATTCTGGATAAATAGGAATTTAACCTCGCTACAGTATCCAGAGCAAATCTGCGCAAGGGCCAGTCGCGATTCTAACGGAAACTCGTGCTCGTCGTCTGACATTTTACAACAAACTCCACCTCGTTTTATATTGGATGCAATATACATACTTGATGTATGCCGAATTTAACGATTTTTATTATAGTCTGATTTTGCTCATGGTCGCAATGTTTATTGGTACGAGTGAGTGAAGTAATCGGTTCAGTGGTTCTAATCCAATTATCGGCACCCCATAGCCCACGAGCATTCTAATATGGAGTGGATGTTAGATTCTTTTTTATAGAATGTTTAGAATGCAATACTATTTGTTAGTATGAGATAAGTAACATGCAGAGCTTATAATTTAGAAAGTCATTATAGAACATAGAGTTGGAGAGGTGTAGGGAAAAAGAAAGGGAGCTTTAATTATTTAGTTAAAAATAATAATAAGACAAAAGAAAAAAAGACCTTATGAATATATGGTAGCTGTTTACCATAAGCTATCCAATATTAAAATACATAACACATTATCCGAAACTGAATTGGTAGAGGCTTGCTGAAATAATTGAACAGGTTCGGTTCTATATCAGGAAGAACAACAACATAAAAAATGCGAATACACTTAGCACACGTCTTGCTAAGTATTCAGGAAGCCACTGACACTCCCATTGTATGTGGGAAATACAGGATACTCAAAGCACGTTTATGATGGTGCTATTTATACTTGAACTGAAAAGGGTAGAGAAACAGTAAAATATAGCACTAGACAAGCTTAATAGCTCTCTCACAAACACACACTGTTTAAAAATAAAATGTTTGAATATGTAGAATGACGACCACTGTTCTACTCTATGATATGGTATAGTCTTTTTAATCAAACACCTACCTAATGCGTGTATCTCTGAAAAAACTTTTTCTTCTCTATTTAACTCGTAGTACAATTCATCGTAGCTATTCGTTGTTGCCAAGAAAGTATCTCCATATGTAATGAATAAGTTAAAAATGTTTACCACCTAAGAGAAGGGAATAAATTATTTACAAAAATCATTTGATTTTAAATAAGTAACAAATTTACCTGAACTGATAAATAAAATATATTACATTTCTTCACAAGTGTTTGCTCCTGATTGACAAGAAAGCGAAGTAATCCGATTAAAGCCGACCAMAGTTCTTTCCATGGATAATTCAAGCGAACTCTGCAACGTTTTTGGTAGCAAAGTATTCGATGAATAACGCCAACACAAAGTAAATATAACTCCATTGGGAATTTCTTCATTAAATGTGAAACAATAAATTCAACCAATAGATCGAGCAATGTGGCTGCCAACGGTTGAGATTTGCCCACCCTATCAATATTTAATTTGCGATGACGCATTTGAGCACGATGTAGCATGACTTTAAATGTGAGGTTGCTATCATGCATCATTGAATTTGCATACTGATCCTCCGATATACATGTTAGAATAAGGAAACAAAGCTTAAGATTTGCGACACTGGATTCATTTTTGTTATCTTGCATTACAATTGAACTGTAATGTACATGAAAAGAACACGTTGAGAAAAACCAATTTAATTATATGATATAAATCATACCAGTATTGAAAAACTGCAACTAGCAAGTTAGTTGGATATTGTGTCATGTCTATTATCGGAGCAGAAGCCAAATCAGGCACAGGTTCTGCTAAATTTAAGGTATTGCTAGGAGACGGCGGTGCACTGGTTTCAGCTTGAGTGTGAGCTAAAGTAGTTATGAAATTACGATTTAGATGAACCGCTTCGTATAAGGCTAGTAAAAGTCCATTGTTTGCTTTAATTTGCTGGACACGTTCACAGCCTTCGTCCGACACAAACATATTTCCAACAATGTTTGATAAAGATGAAAACCAAGATGAGGACTGAACATTTGATAAACTCTGCATATACTGTCGACAGAAATCAATCAAAGATTGTGATATCATCTGGCCATAGCTAAAAAAATAGTTATATCAGAAAATTAAATTGATCGTATATAAAATAAATTAAATATACAGAACAGTGTACATTTGGAAAAACTATAATACTTAGTTTGCCTGATCTTTTAAAACTCTTGCCACTGTCTTAATCGAAATCGAATGAAATTTTATAACTACCTCATCAAATGCTCACTGATTCATATAATTGCATCTATTTTTAGATGTAAATTTTTACCCGTTTAGAGCCATTTCGTCAGCTAATATAGATAACTGAACCACATAAGGATTAGCAGCTTCATGTTTTCTATAATTAACTAATACAGTCAACAAAATAACAACGTCATGGCCATGCTGTGCCCGTAGTGTAGAATCACTCAATAAACGTACAAAATCATCAAACAGGGTATACGTTGTCAAATATTCCAGCAGAACATTTTGACTGATATTGTCAGTACCAGTCACAATTATTAGCAGTAGTTTCAGGCACATAAAACGGGCTCTCTCTGCTACTTCGCCTAAAATGGAAAATAAACTAAGAGGATAAAATTTTAAAATATGTTTACCTCACCTAATAGTATTTGGTTACAGTTGTTCATTAACTGTCGAATACTTTTATCCATTCGTTCGTTACCAAAAATTTCATTTAAACAATTAAATGAAGAATCTGTTGATGATTTTTTGTACATTGCATAAAATAGCGAACAGAGCGTTTGCAGGCTATTAAAAAGTCGCTTCGGATGATCTGGAAGATAAATGGTATTAGGAAAGACATTTTCATTTAATTCATATATGTCAACAAAAATGACACTGTAGCCGACCTGTTTCCATCATTTCAATGCTTTTCTGAAATATTAAGGTCAGATTTTTGTTAACTATGATAAACTGCTCGTATGTAAGTTTTGTTATTTCAGCTTCAAGTGATTCTACATTGGGTTGTAACAAAAAAAATTCATTCCAGAATTCCGTACTCTCGGTGGTTGGATCCTCTCCGCGAAAGAACAATTCGTAAATGTAAACAACTTTTTCTTTAGGACGCTTCGAAGATCCACTTCCGCTTCGTTTTCGGGAAGTCATTGCTCCACTAGAGTTGTGTTTGCTTGCACTTTTACTACACGAAGGATCCCTTCACTCAAATATGTAATAAAATCTGTGATATTTATCCTGTGTAATATTTGTGTAGATTTTGTAGGCAATCAGCTGTGTCAATAACAGGGTTTCATTGCAGTATTTATGAATATTTATCGAAACAATAAGTACCAAAATACACCAAATTACGGTGTTGGAATTGGAAGAATTGGAGTAATAATATCGTGGCAGAGAATGAAGAGAGCGTTTATAATAGAGAAGGTTCACGGCGCGGAGATCGTAAACATATTTTTGGCTAACTCGGTCGAGATGGAGGAGTTTCACCACAGACAAATTATAAGCGTGTTTCACCACGAAARTAGCAGAATTGAGCATTTTCAGTGTTTAATGAGAAAAATAATGCTAATTCCAATGTAAACAAACTTACGCCTAGAGATTCATTTATTTTCTATGCGCAACCGACTCGGCCATAATTTATATATATATGATCCGTATATATTTGGTATCAAAGCATATACTTAGTATATATGTACATATGTACGTATGTAYGTATATTAAAATTTATCTACATCATTATGTATTTCATGATGATTCCATAAAATCATTAAAAATATATAATAGAGTAAAGTGTGTGTTGTGGAGGCGAAGTAGTTCGTAGTAAATAGTATTAAATGAATATGTACTTTAAATTACAACTATGTACCTCTTGCAACTCTGTATTCCTTTTCTATATTCTCTTTTGTTAAACTTTTTTTAAACTGTAAAGACATGTTTATCCATATTGAATAAAGTCAGTCGTTATTTAACATTAAACCTCATTGTATAACCCCATATGTAGGTTTGTACAATGTTAAATCTTCTCGGACCATCAGGTTATGGGTCCAGAATTCCATGTGATCGCAAACGACTGGACGATAAAAGTGAATTTAATTAAATGAAAAAAATAATTTGAGACTTCAGCATAATGGCTGGTATAATAAGAATCGAGCCGCTAAACGYGGAAAATTACGATTCTTGGAAGCTGCAAATGCGGGCAGTTTTAATAAAAAATTATTTGTGGGAATACGCTGATGGCACTAAATTGTGTCCCACAGACGAGACAAAACTCTCCGAGTGGAAAAATGTTGACCAAAAGTCATTAGCGGACATTACATTGGCGATAGCGCCATCAGAGCTAGGGCTGATTTCGGAGTGCAGAAGTGCACGTGATATTTGGATAAGGTTGGAATCGACATTCCAATCGAAGAGGCCAGCTAAAAAAGCAACGTTACTTAAACGTGTAGCGTTGTCGCGTATGTCAGAAGACGAGAAAGTTCGAGAACACCTTAACGGGTTGTTCGATGCAGTAGCAAAGCTTAAAGAAATAGCCGTCGAAATTGGCGACGATCTACTGACAATTTTGTTATTGTACAGTTTGCCGGCGTCATACGAGACATTTAGATGTGCAGTTGAAACGTGAGATGAACTACCGAAGCCGGACATTCTTCGTGGTAAAATTCTCGAAGAACACGAGTTGCGAAARTCAAAAGAAGACAAAGTGGAAGACAACAACGTGCTCTACATAAAGAAAAAGCAAAGCCAATCGTATGTTGATCGTAATTCGTCAAATTCAAAGGAAACAAAAMAGTGCTATCGGTGCGGTAAACCGTGACATTTCGCGAGAAATTGCAATGATAAACTACAAGAACAAAATACGTGTGTGAGTGAAGGAACAAACGAAAAGCCAAAGGGGGTTTATGTTCAATAGAAAAAGCATTTGCCGTCCCTATATTAAATATGAGATGGTGTTTGGACAGTGGCTGCACATCTCATATGAGTGCGAATAAAAACATTTTTGAAAGTGTTAAACTAGTAAATGACGAATTAAGTTTGGCAAATAATTGCTCAACGAAGATAAGTGGTGTTGGTAAAGGGTGCACCACAGCAAACGTTCGCGGAAAACAAATTGACTTGGACTTAGAAAACGTTTTACATGTGGCCGATTTGCGTACAAATTTGTTGTCTGTTGCTAAAATTACTGACAGGGGTTACACAGTTATATTCAAAAAGAATGAAGCCGTGATTATGAACAGAGATAATAAAGTGGTATTGGAAGTCGAACGAATTGGCAATTTGTATTATTTAAAAACTTCAAAAGATTTCGCAAATTATAAAAACAATATTGATCTGTGGCATTACAGAATGGGTTCGTTAACGTGGAACGCGATCTGAAATCAATGGCAAACGGTTCGGTATATGGTTTAAAATTTAAACAAACTGAAATACTCTTCGATTGTAAAATTTGTGCAAGTGAAAAGCAAGTGCGTTCAACTTTTCCTAGATCAGATGAAAACAGAGTTGGCGATCTGCTAGAGATTGTGCACAGTGACGTGTGTGGACCAGTGAGGTGTGAATCCCATGGCGGTGCGRARTATTTAGTGACATTTATTGACGAAAAGTCAAGGTGGTGTGAAATATTTTTCATAAAACAAAAATYACACGTACTGGATGTTTTTAAAGAATATAAAGCCAAAGTTGAGACATTCASGGGAAAGAAAATAAAAGCGTTGCAATCGGACAACGGGCGTGAATATTGTAATAATGAATTGAATACATTTTTAAAAGAGTTCGGAATCAAACGTCGACTTACGGCACCGTATACTCCTCRGCAAAACGGTATGGCTGAACGTAAAAACAGAACTCTCGTTGATATGGCCAGGTGCATGGTGAAACATGTGTGTGCACCATCAACATTTTGGGATGAAGCGGTGAATACGGCGTGTTATATTCGAAATCGTCGTGTAACAAGAACAACGGGTGAAGTTCCATACCGGGTATGGACCAAGAAAAATCCAACAGTGGCGTACATGAAAATATTTGGTACAATAGCATAAGTTCTAAACAAAAATCCTTCAAAAGGGAGATTCGATTCGGGCGCTGAGCCATGTATATTTGTTGGCTATTCATGCGAATCAAAAGCGTACCGTTTGTATTCAAAGACGAAACAGTGCATTATAATAAGTCGAGATGTAAAGTTCATCGATAAATCTGCTTTTGATGGAACTTTTGAAGAATTTAAGCACGAAAATGAAAAAGACGATGAATATGAAAACAAAATGGACGTTATATTCGAGCATAGTAATACAGATAGCCAGGTGGAATGTGAAAATGAAGAGTCGGTAGACGCGTCTAATTGTGAGGTAGGTGTGGGTAGTAAACTACGTGGCAGAGGCCGACCATCGTATGTACGTACAGGGCAAAGGGGGCGACCACGAAAAGTGTATCGCCAGTTAATCGCTAATAATAATTCAGAAGAGGAGATTACTGATCCTGACGATTTCTACGAGTGCAACAAAGCTCGTTTTATAATTCATGATCCACATACCTTGGCAGAAGCATTGAAGTGCAAGACGCGTCTTTATGGGTAAAGGCGCTTGAAGACGAATTTTTGGCGCATATGAAAAACAAAACTTGGCAAATAGCCTTTGAATYGTAAAGTAATTGGTAACAAGTTTGTGTTCCGTACCAAAGATGAACATTTAAAGAAAGTTCGACTGGTTGCAAAGGGTTATGCTCAACGACCGGGGGAAGATTTTCACGAAGTTTCCTCTCCGGTTGCACGGTCAACTTCAGTACGGCTCTTTACTGCACTGAGTACAGAGCTGGATCTCCAAAACATCAGATGGATGTGGTCACCGCATATTTGAATGGAGATCTAGACGAAAACATCTACATTCCATGTTCCAGATTTACTTATGAGTGTGTTGGAGAAAATTCAACGAGGTCAACCTGTGGGCTTAAAAGGTTTGACACAGTATAGTAGCGAAATACAACAAACAGCAAGAGAGTGGCAAGCCGCTCTACAACGAGAAAACCCCGTATGCCTAGTAAGGAAAGCATTATAAGGGTTTGCGACAGTCAGGGTTAATGTGAAGTGAATTGCAAACTTACCATTCCTACAACAAAAAATGAGGCGATTATGGCCAAATATCCATACCAAAGCTTAATCGGCACTTTAATGTATTTAGCGGTATCTACAAGACCAGATATGGCGTATGCCGTAAATTTTATGAGTCAATTTAACAGCAACTACACTGAAGAGCATTGGAAGTMAGCAAAAAGAATTTTACGTTACGTCAAGGGCACAGTACAACAGGGTTTGCTGTATAAGAAGACAGGTGCGGATTTGTATGGTGTAGTCGATGTTGATTGGGGAGCAAATTCAACAGACAGACGATCATATTCAGGTTTTGCATTTATATATGCTGGGTCGTCTATAAGTTGGGAAGCACGGAAGCAGCGTACTGTTTCGCTTTCCAGTACT